GTGGTGAGAGACGGGGTCGAATCTAAGAGGAATGGCGTCGGTTGACGTGCCTAGGGAAAGGTTATAACCGAGCACTTGAGGAGGAGGACACGGGCTAGGACCAACACTTAGTGTGTGAGGTGTGATTGCATAGTGATTGTATTGTGAGGTGTAAACGTTGTTCGGGTGAACGTAGAAAACCCGGTTGTGATAGTGGAGATCTCCTCGAGGTGAGGAGCGGAGACGTAGGTCGTGGGGACCGAACTCCGTAATCATATTGTTTGTTTGTGATTGCATTGGCGCACTTACTTTTATGTTTATATCTTATATCGCCTTTGTATATTGCTTGTTGATTATATTGCCCACTATCTAGTTTAGATTGTTTACCCTTGAGCTTATATATCCTTGCACATACATTGCCTATATCTCTTTGTTAGGATATATCTTGTTGTTCATATTACTTATCCTAGCTCATATACATTGTTGTATTTCATACTTGCTAGGATAACTTATTAATTAATTTTAATTGGTATTAAATCGGATTAGATTAGCTTAAGACCCTAATCACCCTCCCCCCCCCTCTAGGGTCTAACAATCGTATGGTTTGGGATACAAAGTGCTAAGTCAGTGTAACGCTCCTGGTTTCAACAAGGCTGCAGTCCGAGGTAAAACCAAGAAAAACAAACCTGCCATACATTACACTGTACAAAAACATGTTTCACCATCATAATAAGTATCTATCTAGTGGAAATAATAACGGGTGTAGACACAAACAGGCAAAAGAAAATATACGGCAGAAATATTAAACAACAGATATTCTGAAAGAAATAACCACCACTGATATAAATCAAAAGAATCTCAGAAAAAGGAACAATATCTGAATTGAGTACAACTGTCTCGACATAGAACAAAGGACATGACAGTAAGGCACCTTGCCTTTACAAAACTAGAAATAACATCTCAATGTTCATAAACCAAGTCGTCGTGGAGTCCTAAACATAATCTGCTAATAAAATATCTATAAGTAGTAACTAGAGCAAATCCATCAAGCTACGGCTCTCCGTATACCTGGCTCGTTACCTGAAAGTGGGGAAACAACGAGCGTCAAAGCGCTATAGCGAGTAACATCTCAACCAACCCCAAAGGAAGGGCTAGTTAGATAGAAAAATACTGATAATACATATAGATAGTCATAACATCAATCTGAAATAAAAATGGTAGTTTGATATTTAGGAATTTACAACATGTGCGTGGATGTCTCAACCATCCCATAAGCTCATATTGTAAATAGTTAACTATCAAATCCAACTATAACTTGGAGCAAAATCTCCATTTTGAACTATCTCAAAAATATCCTATCAAATGTCAGAATACTTGTTCAACTCTTGAACTTCCTCTACCATATGTTAGTTTAGGAAAAATTCACTGAATGTACAACACATGGACTGCATATAACCAATGTCCAACACATGGATCATAATATGATAAAGCCCAATACATGGGCTGCACATGTGGTAGGTCCAACACATGGACTATAAATAACGTAGGTCCAACACATGGGCCGCAAATCTACATGTCCAACACATGGACTAAAATGATCAAATGTCCCACACATGGACTATATGATCGAGATCCAACACATGGGTCGTAATAGATAGGCGTCCAACACATGGACCGTAATAGATAAGCGTCCAACATATGGACTACAATGGATTTCAAATTAAAAATATATATATACTATTCACTCTCATGTCTCGGTGAAATAAACAAAGCCTCCTTTGTAGTCAACTCGTGAACACAATTCTTTGTGCTTAACAATACCAAATAATCCAGAAATCTAGCCAGCCACACGACGTATGCACAAAACAAAACAGGGTAGAAAACTGACTCGTGGTCGACCGCCGCGCCCAGCGCGGTCGACCGCACTAAGAACAGAAACTCACTGTGTTTCTGTGCTTCCCAGCGGTCGATCGTCACGCCATGCATGGTCGACCGTGATCGATGGTCGACCGCCGCGCCCAGCGCGGTCGACCGTGATCAAGACAGAAACTAAAATCTGATCTGTGCACGATACGCGGTCGACCGTCGTGCCACCCGCGGTCGACCGCGAAGCAAAAAAAATCCTATTTTTAGGTTTTTGTTCTAACTGATATCGATCTCGATCTTCATGTGGTTTTTATATGTACTAGAAACCCTATGCATGTGATTTAATATATCTGGAACATGGTATAAACAGTCTAATCACTATAGACAAAAAGAAACAATTTTAAAACATGCATATATATGACGAAACCTTCGAAAACAATCGTTTTTCTTTAAAAATTCTTGTTATACTAAACACCAGTTCAAAATCTGCACTTAGGAAAACGTGGGTGATCTGTATTAATCTGAAAACATGTTCTTTTACAACATACAATATAAAGATCAACTTTTATACTCAAACTAGCATGTTAGGCTCAACAAAACCCGTAAAAACATCATTTAAAATCATTTAAAACTAGGCGCAGTGTTGGGCGAGATGAAACTCACCTGAGGGGTGATGAACAACTGTGGGTAAGGTCGTGAGGGGGTTCTCCTTCGCTGAACACCGCTGGATCTTGCTCGAAATCCTCCAAGAATCACCCAAAGAAAAAGCTAGGGTTTGCAAGAGGGTAGGGGGAGGCTGCTAGGGTTTTCTGTGATGAAGAGGAGGCTCTCCCGAATTATTTAATATATATATAAGCTCTCAAACCCGACCAAAACCCAACACAAACCGGACTGGAAAAACCGTCTGGCCGCTGTGCGGTCAATCGCCGCGCCACGCGCGGTCGACCGCACAACAGAAATCTGTTGTGCATGAACCTATCGTGTGCTGGTCTTTTCCACTTGATTTCTCTCACATAATCATACTTATTTGATCCCAAAACACTTGTTATCATACTTCTCTATGATCTAAACATATTTTTCACAATAAAAACTCATTTATTTAATTATACAGGGTTTTATAGTCAGTGGTGACTCCATTGGCCCCACACTTTAGGCTCTTAGGAAAACAATCTCCTACTACAGCGGAAGAAAAGGCACACATGGAGCATGTACCTTATACTAGTGTAGTTGGTAGTTTGATGTACACAATTGTGTGTACACGTTCAGATATTTCACAAGCGGTCAGTGTTGTCATTAGGTTCATGACGAACCCGGGAAAGACGCATTGGGAAGCAGTGAAATGGGTCCTGAGGTACTTAAAGAGTACTATTGATACGGGCCTGTATTTTGGTAGAGATACATGTCAGATTGATGGGTTTGTAGACTTAGATTATGTCGGCGATCTAGACAGACGACGATCTACTACTGGTTATGTGTTCAGAATACATGATGCTCCAGTTAGTTAGTGATCGATGTTACAGGGTATAGTGATACTTTCTACTACAAAGGCTGAGTATATGACCATGACAGAGGGAGTAAAGAAAGCATTGTAGTTGTGGGGTCTTCTAGATGATTTGGGATTGAGCAGGATTACGTGAACTTGTGGTGCGATAGCCAGCGTGTGATTCATTTAGCTAAGAATCAAGTTCATCATGCTCGTACTAAACATATCAACTTCATGTATCATTTTATGCGGGATGCCATAGAGGAATGTGATATTTCTCTCATGAAGGTGCACACAAATTAGAATCTCGCAGACATGTTGACCAGGATGGTGACATGTTGCAAGTTTCAGCATTGCTTGGACTTGCTTCATATCAGCCCGTGTTAATCTGCCCAAGAGGGCATGGCCCTTCGGGCGGTGATGGGGTGAGGTGGAGACTATGTGGAGACTATGCAGAACTACGATTAGCTTGATCCCGGTCAGAGGCTACGTAGGCAGACATGGTATAATGGTGCATCTGGTTTAGCCTGGTTTGATGTTTCAGATCTATCTTGTGATGTTTGCAGTGTTCTTCTGGTGTTCGTCAAAAATTTGAGGTTTATCAAATGATGTACGGAGTGGAGAATTGTGAGCGAGACACCTGAAGGTGTCTCGCTCATGCGAGACACCCAAGGTGTCTCGGCACCACGGGACACCTCATCGCGAGACACCCTAAGGTGTCTCGCTACTCGAGACACCTCAGAGTGTCTCGTGATGATCCGAGACAGAGCAGGCGTGGATCCAAACAGCGGGCTTTCGGACGATTTTTTTACTAGTTTTCTTTGGTATAAATAGGGATTCGTTCCTAGGGTTTTTTAGCAGAGAAGAGGGGCTGCTGTCAACGAAAAAGAGAGAGTTTTTCAGATCTAAAAGGTGAGATCTTGAGAAGAGAAAAGATTGAGTGCTTGGAGGGATTTTACAAGAAAGATGTCATCTTCTCTTGAGTAAGAATCAAATCTTCATTTTTGGGACGAGCTTGTGGGTTGTACAAGTCGTCGGTGTTCTCCATCATAGTGGAATCTCCCTTTACCCCTCCACGTGGACGTAAGTAAGTTTGCCGAACCACGTAAATCTTGTGTCTCACTTATTGTATTGGTCATTGCTTATGTTGGTTAGTTCCCTCGATATTCAAACCTAGATCTGATATTGGGAAGAGTGTATATCTCACATTGCTGAGATATTCACTTTTGTTCTTGTTTTCTGTTATCGAAACATGAACATCGAGATTGACTTGTGTTTTGCGAAAATAAAAGTCAGGGGTTTCTCTCAAAGTGATTCGCTTCCGCGACGAGGTGGGCGTATCGGCCCCCAACATAATCATAATCCTAATTAACGAATAACACCATAAAATTAAATCCAAATCCCTAGTCCTAAATCAATAACCTATTTAAAGTTAAACTTTAAATCCTAGTCATAGACCAATAATACTGTAAAAGTCAAATACTAGAAAAGTCCTAGTCCCTGTAAAAAATCCTCAACCAATAAGCACCCTTTATTTCTCTCTGTTTTCCCCCCCTTTTTTTCTTTTTGTCGTTGATAAAAAGCAAAGGGATATCGAGCATGCAAAATCCGGACAACTGAGGCATCATTTCTCGGTCAAGACACTTCAGTAACGTAAACAGAAAAGGTTCGCAAAATCAACGGCGGATATCGAGCCTACAAAAGATTCCAACATTATTACGCGCACATTTCTTTTTATTTCATAATAAAAAGGAAAGGGATCGACAGAAAATTAACTCCTCTTCGCTTTTGGCGCTCTCCCATTTCAAAATTCACCGACTCCCATAATTCCCCAAAATTTCTTGGATTTTCGTCGGATCTCGTGATTTTTAGGGTTTCTCATCTCTCTCTTCGCCCTCCGTTTCCTCAATGTCTCGTCTTCAATCACGCGCGCTCACATCATGCGGATCTCTTCTCCAAGAACTGCAGGTTCGATTCTCTTCTATTAATAACTGAAGTAGAATTTTTAGGGTTTTCTTTTTTTTAATTTTCTTAGGTTTTATTTTGTAATATTTATGGCTGATAGTAGTCTAGGATTTCTTGTGAGAATTTTTTCTTAAAATTTCATATTTTTAACTTTTATATTTCTGTTCATGGATTTTTTCCTTTCAATTTTTGATTAGGGTTTTATAATTGAGGATAGTTAGGTCAAAATTCTCTGGACTAATTACAGTTTTTTAGTATTCCGTTACTTGAAATAGATACTTTGAGGTCCAAAGTTGATAACATCCATGAATTTCTCATCTACAACAACAATGCACTTAAATCTTTAATGGTAATTAACCCTATTTTAAACATCGAAACTTTGATTTTTTCCATGTTATCAAGGGTTTACAACAATATACCATACTTAGTAAGGTGCATATTGATTTATTACCTACTTCACTCAAGGTGAAAAATTGGACTTCTAGAAATTGACAGGAATTCAGAAATATAAGTTATGTAAATGTCAGTTGTATTAAGAAATTTAAACTTTAATTGCAATTATTCTGAGTACATGTTTGTATTTGACAATGTCACGTCTGATAGTTAATTTGGCATTACAGACAATTATTCAATTTGTTATAGTACTCTAAGTCATAAATTTTATAAAACGTGTACCAGAAATTTCATGATACCCAGACAAGAAGGAATGTATATATATATATATATATATATATATATATATATATATATATATATATATATATATATATATATGAAATCTCTGTTCTGTTTTCTGGTAGTTGGGAATTGGGATTATTGTTTCAGTCTTTGGAGATAAGTAAGATATTGTTATAAATGAGGTTTAATATTTGCTTCTTATTTTTTCACATACACAGTGAAGATGTTTTTTTTAAAATTTTGAAAACAGGAGTTATGGAATGAAATAGGGGAGAATGACATGGAAAGAGATAAGATGATATTGCAACTTGAACAGGATGCCAGAGTTTACAGAAGGAAAGTAGACAAACCGAAAATGCAAAGCAGATTTACATCAGGCCTTGGCTGAAGGCGAAGCAGAAATTTCTAATGCCATCTCCACCCTAGGAGAACGCGAGTCATTTCTTCGGGTTTTTTCCTTTTTCATTATCTGCCATTACTTTTACATTCTCGATGCATCTTTGCTCCTTTTCGCTGTGGTAATTTGCTTATCCCTCTACTATTATAGAAAGAGAAACCAAAGGGTACCCTCAAGGAGCAGGTGGCTATGCTAAAGCCTTTTCTGGAAGAGTTGAGGAGGAAGAGAGCGGAAAGGGTAAAGGAGTTTTCTGAAGTCCAATTGCATATTGGTCGAATCTGTGCAGAAATAGCTGGAAACCATCTGGGTAGCTCTTCTGTTCCCCAAGTGGATGAACGAGATTTAAGCATTAAGAGGCTTGAGGAGTTGAAATCTCAGCTCCAAGAGCTTCAAAAAGATAAGGTTCTTGTTATCATATGTCATCACCTATTAACTGCTTTTATAATGAGATTTAGCTTACTATTCTCCTTATTCCTTTGAATATACAGAATATGCGATTGCAGAAAGTCCATGTCCATGTTAAATCAATACATGAGCTATCAACTGTTATGTCCATTGATTTCAACAAAATGCTACGCGAAGTTCATCCAAGCTTTTGTGACTCTGCTGATGACCAACCAAAGAGTATAAGCAATGATACCCTTGCTAGACTTGCAGGAACTGTCCATTCCCTTAAGCAAGAGAAGAAACAGAGGCTACAGAAGGTCAGTTTTATAGTCACATAAATTTTTATGGTACATACAGCTAAATATCCTGTAAATAGAGAGTTTACTTCCAAGTTTTGCCTACTGGTTGGTAATCTGAGAATGTGGAATCATCTTGAAAATGATTGCGATAAACATAGCATCAATTTATGTTGGATTTATTATGAGAATATTTTGTTTCTTGTCTCATCTTGCCTATCCACCTTGCTATTCACTCGTGGATATATCATTTAGCTTTCCTTTGCACGGGTCATAAGGAAAACTCTTGTTTGGATATAGTACGAAAACTGGTACTACGAACCATCTAAGCATGATCCTGTAAACCAGGCATTGAAGATCGAGATTAGACACTGACACAGATCTCATTGTCAAATATGATAACATGAAAACTTTGCCTTTTATTTGTGACTTCTAAATACAATTACTAGAAGCAAGTTGTTTTTAAAATATGATGCCTTGATAGTAGGGAGGCCTTTGGTCTAGATATGGTTTGGGTATGACACTTACCATATCCATATCTGCTTTCTAAAAAATAGATACGAATACGGATGTGCATCGGTTAGAAAAAGTCAAGACCATATCCGCGCTAAACGAAAACGGCTACGGTTCGGATGTTAGAGAATCGGATACGGTTATGATCACGGATACAAATTAGATATTTAGGAAACATATATGACTTAGACATATATCGGATATGACAAAAAATGTATAATAACATCGAACAAGATAGTACATACAGATGGAATCACTTATCTAATCTAAACCTTGAACAAGTGCCTATACTATAACGATCTCATTTAGCTTGATTTTAGTGACATGGTGGAGGGTAGTGGGAAAAATGCAAACTGTGTTAAGTAATATGCAAATAAGATATATAGCGGGTTCGTTTGTAGCGCAGCGGTTAGGTTTATTGCCTTATAACTAAGTGGCCAAGGTTCGGATCCTAGCAAGTGCATTATATTGTTATTCATGTTTTTTCTTAAAATGAACATCCAGATATCAGAACCGTGTTCGCTAGTTGAACCCAATTACCATATTCGAGTAAGGGAAAATCATCTCTGAAACCGAACCCGTATCCAGTCGGTTTCATATTTTGGCTACCATATATGCGTCATTATCGGATACGGATATATCCGTACCGTTTAGCACCCCTACTGATAGTATTAAAAATAAGAGGTTGGATATGTTACGCAGCTACAGAGTTCCCTGAGTTTGAACTATATGAAGTGACTCAGTTTGCTGAGTTAATGCATCTTCTCATTTTCATATGCTGCAGATGAATGGAAGAAAAAGGTTCATAAGTGACCCGAGATATTGGACAATGATATTGTTATTGTTGTTTGTTTTTGCAGTTTTTTTTAGGTCTTCAGTAAGGCTACGACAGTCTGTATTTTCAGTACTGCTATTTTCATGGCATAACTTCTGAAGCTCAATTTTTCTATACTAATATTCAAAAATTTGTTTACTGAGCTAATTATGCTTCTCTGGATTTTGCTCCGGTTTTGTAGCTTCAAAATCTGGGGAGTACACTCATTGAGTTGTGGAATCTCATGGACACGACGAGTGATGAGCAAAAAAGATTTGACCATGTAACATGCTTGATTTCAGTATCTCTTGATGAGGTGTCAGTTCAAGGAAGCCTAGCAGCAGATGTTATTGAACAGGTTTACTTCTTGTTTCCTTTTTAATAAATATGTTTACTTCGGTCATGTGCTTTCTTAGGCTGAGCTTGAAGTTCAGAGATTGAATATCCTGAAAGCCAGCAAAATGAAGGAGCTTGTTTTGAAGAAGCAGAATGAGCTTGATGAGATTTATATGGGTGTCCATATGGAGGTTGATAATGATGCACGACAGAGGCTTATTAGCATCATTGACTCTGGTTTTTCTCAACCACCTTCTCTGCATTTTCCAAGAAAGCCTACCCTCTAAATAAACTAACATTTATGTGTTGATGCTTTCTTCGAAGTTAGAGTCTTGTCAGTCTTTCACTCTTAACACTTATATATTGTAAATATTCTTTGCTGGTACAG